ACATCAATGGTCTTAGTCACCTCCACCATCCAATCAATATCTAGAATCGGAACAGTAGCCTCTCTACATAGATGAAATATCAAGCAAGGAAATGATAATGTGGTAGTCTTCCAAAACTCCCTCTCATGTATCTCAGCTATCAATATCCTAGATAAATCAATATAATGCCCTACCATCAAGCAAGCAATCATGATTGTTCGATCCCATGTCAACTGATTATCCGCCAACGTGGGGGACAATTTGGTTCGGACAATCGATCACCAAAACTTGGCATCAAAATTTAGTGTTTCCTTCTTAATAAAGAGTGTCAAGTCCCTCACCTATTTGGTACCAAACCCTCCTCAGCAATGTAACCGACTTCTCATTGAAGCAAGGCATCTCGCTACTTTATGTCTCTCATATCCATTCTATTCTTGACTAGCTCCATCTTATAGTCAAACTCACTTGTATTAATCAGCTGGTCATTAGATGGGCCGTACATAAAATGGCGGACTATGGCCTCTAATATATATATATATGGGAATACCCAACACACTAATGTAGTTAAGAGGGGAGGCTGAGCTAACTTATTGGCCCTCGAAGGCAAGGTATTCTTGACTGTAGCTGTGTAGGAAGCATAAAACTCCCTAAGCATGAATAGACTATGTTTACTCGGTGTATCTGTCATCCACTCACACATGTGCCTCAATAACAACTCATATATGGTTGGTACGGTATGTAGGTTTCTTGTGAGAACCCATCGCTCCTCAGTAATGGGTCGGGCATACTTTAGTTGCACATTTTTCCGCATAGCATCTATGTAGATTTGAAACCCTAAATGCACCATCTATTTGGCTCACTAGCAACTAGTATCATCTCAACTAGCTCGGTGGAAGGAGGATCATGTGCCTCTCCAGAGTTAGATGCTTCAGAAGCTAATGCTGCAACTGAATTTGAGCTAGAGCCTGACTCTGGACTAGAGGTTTCCCCAGGTTGTTACTCCTCACTACTCTCTCCTAAACCCTGTGCTCCCTCCTCATAATAGGAAGCACTATCACTACTGGAGTCTGACGCCTCTGGTACTTAAACTATTTCAACTTGTCTCTTTTATTGGCGAATAGTCCGGGATGCCTTTGGTGAATCATTAACAGTGCCCAGGTTGAACTCAGACCCACTTAAATCATCCTTAGTGGACTCATCTCTTAGTTGAAACTGGGTTGAAGGGATAGTGGACTTAGACTTCCCCTTTGTTTGGTACATGTTTGGTTTCTTTGGCGGTATTGTACTTGTGGAAGACTTTTTAGCACCCAAATATACACAGCAAAGCAAGAAAAGAATGAAAATAAAACTACGAAACCAAAAGAAAACATACTTTTTTTTTGCAGAATTACAGTGTTTTTATGGACCCACTATTGGTTCTTACATACGCTAGATGCTTTTACAGACCATATGACCCAATCGTAAAAAAAGAAGTCAAATTTTTAGTTTATGAAATAGGAATGACGGTTCAATAGTATAGTCCATCAAAGTTTATATCGACTGTAAGACAAACTGTCATTCTTAACTTAGGCTACTATTTGGTGACTCAGGATGACAAGACTTGATCTACGGTCTGTAGAAATTTTTACATCTCGTAGATTGAATTCGTCGACCCCAACATTGGCAGTTTTAGGACCAACTTTTACGCATTACACATTTTCAACATCAAACCATCCTAACCTAGACTAGATCATGCATTTCAACCTATTATCATGTAATTCCGTCATCCTTAGAGCTTACACTTATCATTTAGTCACAACAACAAAAGCAACATCATAAACCCTAAGTCAAGAACACAATTTGAAATAATTTGGTCATATAGTTACGCCTAATCAACAACACTCACATATACTTTCAGCCCAAGGGTATAGTTCAATTAATTTAGGCATACAAAACAAGTAACATATACCCTAGGTCAAGTAGCAACTTCAATTTAAACTAAAATTTAATTTATTGAAGGCAAATTCAGTACCTTTGAGGGGAAATAAAAATTTACGTGAGTGTAAACGTCTAGAACTTTACAAACAACTTGCTAGATCCTTGAATCGCGACCTTTGATTTCACATAAAGAAGATTTGGGAAAGATATAAGAAAGAAAGAAGGAAAATGGGAGAAAATGGGATGAAGGGATTTATACAGTGAATAGTGGGGTTAAGGGGTGTAATTTGAATATGAAAGGGTGGGAAGATGGAGGTGTGTAACTGATTTGAGGTTTGTAATGGTTGGGAATAGGAGGTTGAATTTGAAAATGGGGGTTTTATTTGAAAAGGGTCGCAGGTCTAGTCTTTTGTATTTTGCAGATAGGTTTGACGAAAGCCCGTCTATGGTCCGTAGGTAGTCTTACGTTCGGTATATTGATTCAACACGTAGAAAGATTTAGGAAACATACATGGGATTTACGAGTGCAAACTACGAACCGTCAAAGTTAGTATGGTTTGTATTGTGCGCCCATAGACTTAAAGTTGTAGTTGTATGTGGACTTTAAATTCTACGGATGCTATCTACGGCTCGTTGACTGAACTACAACTCATAGATGGGAACCATATAACTTAGTACTTAATGTCTTACCTGGCATCGAGATTCTATGGCTTAGACCTACGGTCTGTGGGTTGCCCTACAACTTGTAGGTCCAAACCGTAGGACCTTCTGTACTTTGAATTTTGTTCAAATTTTTACATTTTAGATGGGAACCGTATAACTTAGAACTTGCTTTTACATTTTCTTGACTCTTTTTGGACACGGGCCCTAAACTAACCTATTCTTACAATCACTATAAAACTCATAAAAATCACTAGAAAACTTTTAAACAAAAAATCACTAGAAGACTTATTAAACTCGCTAGATTACACATTAGGTTGCCTCCTAAGTAGTGCTTCATTTAACGTCGCAACACGACGTAGATCCCTTGACTGCTTAGGCCTCATCAAGATCCCATTCTTCGATCGCCTGTTTTAACTTTCTCCAGTTGGGCCAAGTAGATTTTGATCCTTTGACCATTTACCTTGAATATTGTTCCTTTCTCATTCTCAAGTTCAACCATTCCTTGTGAGAACACGTGTACACGTATGAATGGTCCCATCCATTTTGATTTGAGCTTGCCAGGAAACAAACGTAGCCTTGAATTGAATAGAAGTACTAAATCACCGAGAGAAAAGTCATGATTTTGAATCTTTTGATCATGGTACTTCTGTGTCTTTTCTTATACAAGTCTGAACTTTCATATGCTTGTAGGCGAAACTCATCAAGTCCATTCATCTCATTCAAACTTTTACTTGATGCAGCATCCCATTCTATATTCAACTTCTTGAGTGCCCACATCGCTTTATACTCTAACTCTAAAGGCAAGTGGCAATACTTCTCAAAAACAAGTTGGTAGGGAGACATACCTTTGTGAGTCTTGTATGTGGTGAGATTGTCCTATAGAGCATTATCACGTTTTCTCGACCAATCAGTTATGTTTACATTCATAATCTTTGGAAGGATTTTCTTACTTTCTCTATTTGACAATTCAACTTGCACACTAGACTGCGGATGATAAGGAATTGCTACGATGTATCAAACACACTATTACTCGAACAAATCCTTGAATAACTTATTACAAAAGTGAGAACCTTTATCGCTGATAATCACCCTTGGTGTTCCAAATCTAGAAAAGATATTCTTTTTTCAGGAATGCGGTGACACTCTTCCCTTCATTGTTTGAAAGCATGACAGCTTCCACCCATTTAGATACATAGTCATCTGCCACAAGTATGTACTTCATTCCGTTCGAACTCACAAATAGACCCATAAAGTCAAGGCCCCAAACATCAAACAGTTCAATCACTAGAATAGAAGTCAGTGGAAGTTCTTGCTTCCTTGAAATACCTTATTCTCTTTGACAACGATCACAAGACTTGGTGAAATCATGAGCATCTTGGTGGATAGTAGGCCAATAATACCCACACTACAAGATCTTATGAGCAATTCGGATACCACTATGATGGTCACCAACATGAGACGAATTGTAAGCTTCCAATATACTCATCATCTCTACCTCAGACACATAGCGACAAATAATACCATTAGCACATACACGAAACAAATAAGGCTCTTTCTAAAAAAGCTTTTTCACATCAGACATAAATTTCTTCTCCGGTGGAATGACAGATCCAAGTGCACCACGTCACTCACCAAATAATTAGCAAAATCTACAAACCAAGGGATAAGATCAAAAGAAGCAGCCAAAACCTGTTTGTCCTAAAATGTATCATCAATTTCAACTCCATCAGCTAACTTTAACATAGCCTCTTCCTCAAATCTGGACAAGTGATCAGTCACTTGGTTTTCTTTATCCTTTTCTATCTTTTACCTTAAAATCGAATTCTAGCAACAATATCACATATCAAATCAGTCTTGGTTTTGCATCCTTATTTTCCATAAGATACCTCAATACTGAATGACTAGTGTGCACAATGACTTTAGTTCCCAGCAAATAGGATCTAAACTTTTCAAACGCGAAGATTACATCAAGAAATTCCTATTCAATGACTGTATAGTTCTTTTGAGCAAAACTCAGGGCTTTGCTTGAATAATATATGGGATGAAGAATCTTCATTCTCCTTTGCCCCAATACTATGCCAAGTGCCACCCCACTTGCATCAGACATAACTTCAAATGGTTGTCCCCAATCCGGTGAAATAATGATCGGTGCAGAAGTCAACTTCTCTTGCAGCCCGTCAAATGCTTTCAGACACGCATCATCAAATTCAAATTTCATCTCCTTTTTGAGAAATTTTCACAATGGGTGTGCAATTTTGGAGAAATCTTTGATAAATCTCTTAGAACCTAGCATGACCTAGAAAACTTTTAGCACCTTTAACGGAGATGGGTTGTGAGAACTTTTAAATAACCTCAACCCTTTTTCTATCAACCTCGATGCATTTTTATGAAATCTGATGGCCTAAGAATATGCCCTTTTTCACCATGAAGTGACACTTCTCTCAGTTTAGAACAAGATTGTATTTTTCATGGCAATTGAGAATATCACCCAAGTGTGCCAAGAAATCCTCAAACGAGTCACCAACCACAGAAAAATCATCCATGAATGCCTCAATAGTATCTTCCACCATATCAGAGAATATAGACATCAGACAACATTTAAAAGTTGTTAGTGCATTACACAACCCGAATAGCGACCTTTTGAAAGAAAACGTACCAAAAGGACAAGTGAAAATAGTCTTCTCTTAGTCTTCTAGAGCAATAGAGATATGATTGTAGCCTAAAAACCCATCTAGAAACCAGTACCAACCCTTTTCCAGTAAGATGATCTAACTTTTGGTCCATGAACGACATTTCGAAGTGATCTTTTTCACTCCATGCATTCAACTTGCGGTTATCCATGCAGACCCTCCAACCAGACATAGGCCTCATAGGGACAAGTTCATTCTTTGAGTTGGGAACCACAGTGATTCCTCTCTTCTTTGGCACACATTGAACCAAACACACCCAATTATTACCAGCGATCAGATAAACTACCCCAGCATCTAAACATTTGATAATCTCATCCTTCAAAACTTCTTGCATTGGAGAATTCAATCTTTTTTGTGCTCAATACTTAATTTACTATCATGCATGAGTTTAATTTTATGAGAATATATACCCGATAGAATACCAATAATGTCAATAATAGTCTATCTTATCGCCTTTTTGAACCGTTTTAACACCAACATTAGCACCTTTACTTGCCCTTCGTTTAAATTAGAAGCAATAATGAACGGCAAAGTGCTATTTTTTCCCAAAAAACATACTGCAAATGAGATGGGAGAGCCTTTAGCACTAATTTCGAAGGCTCATCAATAGATGGTTTTGCGTGCAAAGTTTCTCGATTATTCATATTCGAATCCAACTTCTTTGGTGGGTGACGAGGGAAATCAACCCCATCAAGTGTAGTAACTCATCATACTCATGAATGCCCTCTCCATCAAAATTCGTGGTCACAACGGCTAGTGCTTCAACACCCAATTTCCCCTCAATGGACACTTCTAGTTTCTCCTCAATAATATAATTCACAACGAATACTAAGTTAAGATCACTTTGATGCTTCATTAATTTGTAGATATTAAATGTCACCTCTTCATTATTCAACTGAAAATTTATCTGTTCTATTTCCATATCAACAAAAGCATGCCTAGTAGAAAGGAATGATCTACCTAAGATGATGGGCACCTTAAAGTCAACCTCACAGTCTAATATCACAAAATCAATCGGAAATATGAATATCTCAACTTTAACAAGAACATCTTGTAGTACCCTAATTTGTTTCCTTGCAGTCCGATCAACCATAAGTAGCCATATTGTAGTCGTTTTGGGGGATCACAAGCCCAACTTATTAAACACTGACAGTGACATTAGATTTATGCTAGCACCAAAGTCACATAGGGCCTTAGCAAGGTGTAACATACCAATGGTACATGGGATCGTAAAAGCTCCAGGGTCCTCCTTCTTTTGCACTAGAGATGTAGTAGCAATGGCACTATAATGGTGCAATTTATCATCACCTTCAAAATTGACAACCCTCTTTTTGGTAACAAAATTTTTCATGAACTTAGCATAATTGGCATTTGTTCTAGCTCTTTAATCAAAGAAACATTTATCGATAACTACTTTAACATGGATATGAACTTGCAATACTTTCCTTATTCAGTCTTCTTGACCAACCATTGTGGGAAGGGAGGTGGATGTCTCGAAATTGGAATGAGCTTTTGAGTAACTTCCGCTTCCTTCTCGTTTTGATCCTTAGGTTGTTCCAATACTTCAACTTCATCCTCTTCTGGATCTTCCATACTTTCCACCTAAGTCGGCATGGGAGGGTCAATAGTTTATTTTCCACCCCTAGTAGTAAGTGTCATGCACTGCCCATCATTCTTAGGATTTTGAATAGTATTCCTGGACATGTTCCTTGCTGGCGCAAATTTGTACTTGACGATAGTTGGCTCAATTGCTGCTCAATCTATCTAATAGATACTGCATTTGACTCTACCTTTTACCCAATGCTTGATAAATCAGTATACATCTCTTCCACATTGTCATCAGTTGAGTAAAAATTATTTATCATCTTTGCCATCCTATCCTCAATGCGATTCAAGCGTAGTCCTTCTTCTCGATTCCCTAGTGGAATATAAGGGCCACTCTTATCGTTTCTATTGTTTTACCCATTCATGTTGTAGTTGTTATCACCATTATGGTTCCCATCTCGATTATAGTTCCCTTAACGATTTTAATTACTGTAAAACTGACCTTGGCATCAATTATCCTGATTGGATGCTTGGGTGTTAGTCCGAAAACCCCTCGTTTGATCATTAACAAAGTTCGCATCTTCCTCATAGACATAGTCATCAACCGATGGTGCTCTAGTCTGATAGTTTACTACATTGAACTTCTCAACATTTCTACTTACATGTTTCAAAACCAAGCCAACCTCTGTCCTCAACTTTGCCATCTACTCACGAATATCATCATGGGACTGATTCTATATGGCTTGTATTGAAAAAGTGCTCTTTGATGTATCCAAAGTTCTAGTGCTCCATGCCTTATTATTCTTGAGATCTTTTCAAGTTTCTCAGCAATCTCTTGAAATGTGTTAGCCCCATAATTAAGAACCTCGAGGAATAGTATCCAACACAACTTTCCCAATGTCATCCAGCCCTCCGTAGTAGTTCTCCTTGAGTGACTCATAATCAATGTGGTGGTTCGGCACACTTCTCATGAACCCTGTAAATATGTCCCAAGAATCATTGACAGACTCCCCATGTAGAGCCACAAAGTTGTTAAGTTTATCTTTGAGTTTCAACTTCTTTGACAAAGGGAAGTATTTCTCCAAGAACACTCTATGAAGCTCCGTCCATGTGGTAATTTAATTATATGGAAGCTCAGATAGCCACATGGTAGCATCTCCTGCCAATGATAGTGGGAACACACGCAACCCGATCGCATCCATGTCTAAGTCTGGCCTCCCCACAATGCTCTTTCACATGCTACTGACTTTACTTATATGAACATATGGATCTTCATATGGCAAACCATTAAATAGCCCTCTGGATCTAAGCATTTGCATCAGACTGCTAGTAACCATGAATGCATGTCAAGGTGGTAGTGGGGGAATAACTATGGCACCCGTTCATCCCACAACACTATGATCAACACTGAAATTATCATGCACATCGGGTGCTTGTTGATCTTGCACTCTCGTAAGGTTGTTCTGGTCGTTTCTAGGTACCTCCACTATTCGCGGACATTGGACTCCAACAACCTTTCATGACCAGGGGTACCTCCAAGATGTAACAAGGCGCACATGACCCCGAGAGGCCTCATACAAGTTCCTTAGCATATCATAACATAAAGCAATAGAAATGACGTGGAAATTTAAAACATTTTCCATACAATCAAAGTCCTTTATAAAAACGAGCGGCAGTCTATAACACTTGTTTCAAACCATCTAAAACCATAGATGTCTTTGGGACGCAGCCCATACAAAAATTCTAAAGATAAAATAAAAGACAACATAAGAACATGGTGACTATCTCCTCGGATATTATGAGGACTCACCAAAGCTTTAATACTTGCTCTACTATGATCCTAGCCACGGGGATGGAACACAATATTGCCGGACCCTACATATGAAAAGAATGTAGGCAAGAGTATGCGTTAGTACAAAATGTACTAATTATGATAGCTAACATAACATCATCAAGATCATAACATAAGCATTATCCAACATATGACATAAACTACAAGCATAAGAGATAAAAGCATAGTCATAGGCATAATCAATACATCTAGATCATCATACTATAAGAGAAACACTTCATAAGTAATCTCAAAGCATACTTGTGCAATGCATGGATGAGACCCCATAAATCTCACCCATGCTAAGTAAACCACTTTAGGCCATCATTCATATTCATCATCTTTTGACCTCATCCTTAGCTTATTTCTCATAGACAAGGGAACATTCACCTTTGGTCAAACATATCAAGGAAGGCAATTATAGCAACAATCCAAGATAAACATACATCATATAAGCAAATCTCATATAAAAGAATACTTACAATACTTCCTTGAAGTAACCTTGATTCATCATCATCATGCTACTTTGAGTAGGGACTTGTCCCTCTTTAGCTACATCTACTACTCATGGAAAAATACTTCTTTACTAGTCCAATACATACATTATGCATGAATGGTTACGATTTACCTAGTCAAGGTTGTCAAGGAAAAGCACACTCTCATGCAAATCCAAGCTACTCAAGGAAGGGTACTATTTCTCAATTCAAGCTACCAATGAAATGGTTTGGGATTACCAAGTAATGCTATCATGCAAGCATTCTATTGTGCAAGTTTAAGCTAACCTTAGGAGGAATACGATTTCTCAATCCAAGGCTATCCATGAGATCTATTACTCAAGCTAACATGCATAGTCTTCTCTTACCAAGTCAAGCTATTCATGAAGGGATACCATATCACAACTTCAAGCTATCATAATTCTTCTTCTTCTTCTTCTTCGAAGAGAATATTTGGGAGAGAATTGGGTTTCTTTTTGGTGAGTTGAGAGAATGACTTAAATCACTTAATTTAGAGGTCTAAAGTCCATATTTAGGTGGTCTATATTAGGGTAAAACGACACCACTTAATCCTAATTAAAACCGGAAAACCCCAAAGTGCCCCTAAACTTAACCGCCCAACTGCCTCATTTTTGTCCCAACCAGGAGACCACACTGACGGGCCGTGGGTGGACCCACGGTTAGTCCTGGTCAACCGTGGTTTGGGTTCAGAGACTGGCCAAAAATAGGGCTTGAACCACGACCCCTATCCACGAGGCATAGGTGTCATACCCCTAACTAGAAAGGGGCAAACATCAAGGATATACACAAGCACCTTCTAAATATCTCACTAATCTCATGCCAAAGCTGAAGATTCATAAGTAGCAGAACCTATATGAAGACACATACTAAAACATAGATAACAAAAGGGCCCGTTGGGCTACTTTACAATGGAAACAAGACTAAGTCTACGAAGCCTCTAAAGAGTATGCATCTGAGAATCTGATAACTAGTTAGGACAGGGCCTCGACATACCCATTCTGATATATGTACATACGTAGCAAAATATAGGCTCTAAATATTTGATAGCTCCAGGTAGAGGTGGAGCTTACCAACTGCTAAACTGGAAGTCTCTAGTCTACTGAAAATGCTTGTTGTCCTGAGCACCTGAACCTGTAGTGATACAAATGAAATGCCAAAATAATAGGGACGTCAGTACATATAAAACATGTACTGGTATGTAAAGCAAACTGAATAACAAGTAGACATCAAATATCATGATAGGCAAATTTGAGCATGTGTATGCAGGAGACATAATCTGTAATTGGAATTGTGACCAACCTCCTCATCGAACGTTTCATGGCTTAGTCATTTATATATATATAATCCCTATAATTGCCTAAGTGATATCTTTACTTCATTAATATCGCTTCTTTGCTCTTTGTAAAGCTAACTGTCAGGGAATCACATAATGGCCTACTGACG